AGGACCCGGTACTGAAACTAATATCTGTTCAGCTTCCAACAGGAAAAGGGAGAAAACAGAAAAATAAGCTGTGCAGACAGACTGAAAAAAAAAGAGAGTATTCCAACACAAACATTTCTATGGAGCGGAGGCCCAGTTTAAACTCACATAGCTCCACTCCCCCGTTCCTTTCACGGCTAAAGATTTAGTTTCTTCCCTCAGTGCCACCATCATTCTGTTTTAAAATAAAGATCCTCTCAGGATCTGTCTTATTTCTCTGGTTATCCACACCTTAAGTGGACCATAACACCTTAACTAGCATTAATGTGACTGTTTTCTTGATGGATTTGCTTCAAAACTATCCAGGGTCCAGGTATTAAAAGTGGGTGAATGGGGGAATAATTCACATTAGCATAAAACCTTTTTATTAAATCCCAAAACAAATCTATGTATTCTTTCTTAACTCAGAAAAGAAATCCATTCCTCTCCAAAATGAAACTCCAGCTCCACTTGTGGATCCCAAGACCAAAAATCAGAATCAGAATCAGAAATACTTTAATAATCCCAGAGGGAAATTACTTTTGTCACTAAATATTTTTTGCGTTTAACTTTTTTGGACTTATTGTACAAACCTATTTAACATCCACTATTTAACATAATATTATGTATAGAGTTTAATTCAGTGTTTGCAAGATTAATTTCACTATTTTTAAATTAATGTCTATATTGCCATGAAGCAATTAGGATTTTCTTGCCTGGGATCTTCCTATTGGTGACCTAATCAAAATGGCCGACTTGGATGTGGGCGGAGTTGGATATCCATAATTTCCCTCCATTTGCCGTCATTTGAGTATGTGCTGGTTAACATAATAAAACGCCTAAGAAAACCAAAAAAAAGGTCTTTATGGACTGTTTCAGTGTTATTTTTTCAGAAATTCATTTAAGTTTCTACTCATTTCTTATTCACAAAACAGTTCAGGCTGCTAAGAATAAGAATCTTTTGTTGAGATAAAATGATGAGAAGTTGTAAAATGGCGTTAATATTAATAAAAACACACAAAAACATTGTGAGGGGAGTAGTTGGGGGGAAATCTGGGAAGTTTTGCACATCACATGTGCATCTTTTAAAGTGAATTTTCATGTGTGGAAACACAACTTGACTTTACTTTACATGTGTCCTTTAATAATGTGCAAATCAATAAATTTTATGCTATGAAAATAATAATGACAATAGCCTTTTTTTGACCAACAACTTAAAATTGGACAATTGGATGAGCAAGAAATCTCTTAATTTTTCTGTTTGACTATTTTTCGGACATGTTTGAATTTAAACAAAGATCCATGCATTTAAGTTTCTACCTGGCTGTTTATTATTATTATATATATATATATATATATATATATATACATATATACTGTATATATATAGACATCTATATGTATATGCTGTTGTTTTATTTCTTGAGTGGTTTATATATATACAAAATTCCACACAGAATATAAATAAATAAATATACACATAAGTAACTATTATTATTATTATTATTATTATTTGTGTGTGTACCCACAGTGAGGCGGTGGTGGAGGGCACCCTGACCCACCCGTTTGCACTAACGCTGTCTAAGGAAACTCTGTACTGGACGGACTGGCAGACCCGCTCCATCCACGCCTGCAACAAGCACAGCGGAGACAAAACCAGGGAGATCCTCAGTGGGATCTACTCCCCCATGGACATCCAGGTGCTGGAGCCCTACCGGCAGCCCTACAGTAAGTCAACGCTCTCTCCAGATAATGAATCCAACACAATCTGTTTCAGTATGGTTCTGTACAAAGTGGAATATGTTTTAAGAATTTAAAATGAAACAGAAGATGTGAATTACCGGTCACATCCACCTCGTGTGTTGGATCACCATCAGGCTTTTTGTCACCGCCTTTTTTATTTTTTTATTTTATTATATTTTTTAATTTTTAATTAAATTGAATTTTATTTAATTTTATTATTAAAAAAAAAAATTATTTAATTTTTTTTTATGTTAAAAAAAAATAAAATAATAATTTTAATATTTTTTGTAAAAAAAACATTAAAAAAAAACAAACATTTATTGTTTACATTTTTTTTTAAATTTTTATATTTTTTAAAATTTCCTAACCAAATTCTTCCAACAAAGAAAAGGCCGTCTGGGGCAACAGGTGGTTTGTGTTCTTTCCTTTTATTTCTTGTAAAATGATAGGGAAATTATCGCCAACAATTCAATATAACTTTAATGCAAATTAAAAGTCAAAAAGTTGGTCAAAAAGTATTTCAAAAGTGTGGTGTGTGTGGTCAAAAAATCACTGTCCCCAAACCTCCCGTCATCCCACCTTTTGAAAGTAAAAGTATTAAGTTAATCAAAAAGATGTAGTGGAGTAAAAGTAAAAGCAGGGGTAAAAAATATACTCAAATATACTTAAGTACAGTACTTAAGTCGTTCTACTTTATTACTGAACATCTCTGGAGAAATGTGAGCCGGTGGCATGTGAAACTGGCTAAATGCTGATAAAACGGGGAGTTTTCAGCCATTTGGGGTGAAAGCAAAACGTAATCTTTGACTATTTTCTTTGTCAGGACACTTTAGAGTGGCTAGTTCACAGTCTACTAGCAGATCAGGAATGTTTTTTGGCCCTAAACCGTTTAGTGATTTGTAAACTAGCAAAACGTACTTTGAAGCCAGTTTAACCCTTTAAAGCCCGATCCAAGAAAAATTGGAAGAATATTGGATTTTTCTTTCTTTGGCCCCTCAACAACATATGAAGAAGAAAAAAAACAGAAATGATTTTGATCAAATTAGCGTGCAAAAGGTCAAACATATATTTTGGTGTAGTGTTCTACTGACTGAGGAGTTGACAGCCATTTGGGGTGAAAAAAAAACATAATCTTTGACTATTTCCTTTTATCTGGACACTTTATAGCTGCTATTTCGCGTTCCCAGAACCAGACGTCTCACTCTGGTTCGTGTCTTTGTGCTTGTCTTTTCTTCCACGTTTGTCTGTGTGTGTTGTGTGTTGTGTGTTGTGTGTTGTGTGTTTGTGTGTTGTGTCTCTGTGTCTCTGTGTGTTGTGTGTTGTGTCGTTGTGTGTTGTCTCTCTGTGTGTTGTGTGTTGTTTCTCTGTGTGTTGTGTCTCTGTGTGTTGTGTGTTGTGTCTCTGTGTGTTGTGTGTTGTGTCTCTGT